AAGGCCAGAGCCCAGACTGTTAGGGAACGGTGCCTGGCTCGGCCCCAAATCCCAAGGAGGAAGGTGAGAGCTCTAGGACTAAGCTTTGGAGGGAGGAGGGACTCCGTAGTGGGTGAGCCAATTACATTGTGGCAAAGTTTGAATGTGTCAGTAATCATAAGCCGCTGTTTAAGCGAGAGAGCGCAGGCGAGAGCATCAGTCGAAGCGGTTTAAAGGACCGAGTGCAAGTTGTCCGTGGACCCACTGGTACATCGTTCGATTCGCTGACACACAGTTCGATTCGCTGGTGCGACGCTCCAGCGAATCAGCGGATCGAACTAACATTGGCCGGCGCAGCTGGCTGTGACAAATTGTCGACACCACAGGCCACATATGGCTCGCACTTTCAAGAGGAGGAGACTCGTTTTACGCGAACTACTTCGCACCGTTAATATACCAGAACTGCCCTTATAGACGGTGGGGTCCAGAAAACATTTATTACCAATTCTTACCTTTACAAGCAGTTTTGCGATACCTTCTCCTCGACGATAAAACGGTGTTTCTGTATGATGGAATTCTAGCACTCTGCCAGGAAGTTCTTTGTATTCCATGAATGCCTTTGATCCACAACCTGATTATTGAGCATCATTCAAAATTTGACCACCTTTGCACCTTCTCATTTAAAATCTTGCAATTATATTTTATGACAGTTCATTGATTCTTTAAAAAATTAAGTACCTAAAGGAACGCGTCCTAGTGTATTATTCCGCTTGAAAATGGAACTACAGAGAAGTGAGGAAGAAAAAGCACAAGGAGAAATAGAGAACACTCAAACTAAGGACCTTATTTTCGTGTTGTATGACGAACAGGCACAGCGCGGCGTGGAGATGAAACACGCGAGAGAGCACGAGAAGGCCATCGCGCATACTACGAACGAGTAGAGATAAGCACCCTAGTCGCGCACCGAGTCGCGACGGGGTGGGATATAATTGTGACCCGTGCTTCAGTGTGAGCATAATGCTAAGTCACGTGGACATTTTGGTTCTCTTCGCACTATAAATGCACGAGTAGAGAACAGATTAACCGT